CTGTATAGTACATCCTTTTGGCTTACATGGCACTTCAGCCTCATTCCAAAGAATAATGGACCACATTCTTAAGCTCTTATCAGCATATGCTTTAGCATATCTATATAATGTAGTCATTTTCAGTCTTGGCTGGGTCTACCAATTAAAAACATTCTAGGCAGTTTTAGTTAACAGCTAGTCCAAAGAAATGTGCAATAGGCCTTAAAGAAGCCAAGCATTTGGACTACAACACTGGGCTGGTGGTCATAAATCCTCTAATGGACAAGACTGAAGCAATTAATGGTTGGCCTAAGCCAATGTAAAAAAACAGGTTTGAGTCTTTCTAGGGTTTGTGGGATACAATCTAGATCTTCTTGCTAATCTCACCAAAGGGAAAAAGTCAATGGAATGTGGAATGAAGAGGCAGGAAAAGCTTTCCAAACGTTGAAAGCATCATTGTGTAAGGGGCCTGTGTTAACCACTCCTGATGTTCCTGAAGTTGATGTGTTGAAAGCAATAAAAATGAGCATCACAGTTTGTTGTGTATGGGGCTGTATAGCCTCAGACCGGTCAGGGTGCCTATGCTGACCAAGTTTAAAAGTGTCTACAATGGGCACATGAGCATCAGAACTGGCCCATGGTGCAATGGAAGAAGGTGGCCTAGTCTTTTACATCATGTGGATCATGTGGATGGCCAGGTGTGTGTGTGTGTCGCTTATCTAAGGGAGAAATGGCACCAGGATGCAGTATGGGAAGAAGGCAAGCTGGCGGAGGCAGTTCTGCTGGGAAACATTGGCCCTGCCATTCATGTGGATCTTACTTTGACTCGTACCACCTAACTAAACACTGTTGCTGAACAAGTACACCTCATCATGGAAATGGTATTTCCTGAGGGCAGTGGCCTCTTTCAGGAAAAAAATGCACCCTGCCACACTACAAAAATGGTTCAAGAATTGTTTGAGGAACACAACAACAAGTTTGAAGTATTCGCTTGACCTCCAAATTCTCCAGATCTCAATCCAATCTGTGGGATGTGCTGGACAAAACAAGTGCAGTTCATGAAGACCCCACCTCACAACTTACAGGACTTAAAGGATCTTCTACTGACGGCTTGGTACCAGAAACCTCAGTAGAGCTTCAGTGGTCTAGTGGAGTCCATGCCTCAACAGGTCAGGGCCAGGGGCGGACTGACCATTCGAGCACTCGGGCAATGCCCGGGGGCCCGGGTTCAGTAGGGTGCCCCATGAGATGCCCCTGGTACCTTTCATTGGCTTTTTCATAGGCTTTTTTGGGTGTGGGCGAGGACACAGGAGCCCCATGATCCCCTATTGCCCGGGGGCCCCATGAGTTGTCAGTCCGCCCCTGGTCAGGGCTGCTTTGGCAGAAGAAGTGGAGGCCTACTCAATATTACGTAGGTGGTCATAAAGTTATAGAAGATCGGTTGGTGTGTGTGTATATACGAGGGGCAATCAGGTCAAACCGGAAATTTTTAATTTTCCAGGTATAAAGAGGGATGCTAGCATGGCGGTACTACATGCAGTAGTAAGTGGCAAGTGTGTCCTATTACTGATAGGCGGTACACGTGTCCAAAGACCATTAATCAAGATGGCAGGCAACAATGTTAGTGTGTGCATGGAGCAGTGTATGGTGCAGGGGCGGACTGACCATTCGAGCATTCGGGCAGTGCTCGAGGGCCCGGGGTCAGTAGGGGGCCGCATGAAATGCCCCTGGTACCTTTTTATAGGCATTTTTGGGTGTGCTCTGAGTGTGGCCAAGGACACAGGGGCCCAATGATCCCCTATTGCCCGGGGGCCCCATGAGTTGTCAGTCCGCCCCTGGTGCGGTGATGAAGTTTCTTGTGAACGAAGGCGTAAAACCCCACGAATATCTACAGAAGACTTCAAGCACAGTATGGTGATGAGACGCTCAGCCGCAGTAAGACATTTGAATGGTGTAAATATTTCAAAGATGGCTGTATGTCCGTCAGCGAGGATCCTGGCCGTGGTGGTTCCCAGCCAACAGCAGTCATTCCTGTAAACATTCAGCGTGTGGAACGTCTGATCCTGGATAATCAATGGATAACCTGTCATGAAATCGCACAAATCTTTCTGTGGGAACAGTGAACACAATGATGATGAAGTGAAGCCGGCTGTCCTGGGATGATTCAGGCATACTCACAAATCTTTCTATGCCGAAGCTTTCCAGGCATTAGTTAAATGCTGGGATAAGTGTATAAATGTACCAGAGGAGTATGTGGAAAAATAAATACAATTTCCATACCTTGAAATTTGTTCTTTTTATTATATAAACTCAAAAAGTCCCAGCTTAACTTATATGCTCGATATATATATATATATATATATATATATATATATATATATATATATATATATATACAGTGATAAGCATAAATGAGTACACCCCAACAGATTTGTCAGAAAACCTTTACTTTTCTTTCAGAAACAACATTTTCTATGGGACACTATACTACAAAATACTCCCACAAATGCAGGCCATTGATTGTACACACAAAAAAGTATTTTTCCAGACAAATTAATTCAAGACCATGTGCAAAGATAAATACATCCCAATCAAAGTCTTTGGAGCATAGATACATTTTAGACAACAAAATCCTAATTAACATGAATTCAACTACAGCTGAGTCTAATTATTCATTAAACAGGAGTCCAGCAGACAGTTGATTATAAAAGGGCATTAGTTAACAAAGAAAACCCCTCCCATTTCATGCTGTCAGCAATGGCACCACATGGAAGAGAAATGTCACAAGGCCTTAGAAAGAAAATAATTTCTTTACACAAGAAAGGTGAAAGCTACAAGAAGATCAGCAAAGTTTTACTTATCAGTCAGAATACTGTAGCAAAAATGAAACAAAAATTTAACAAAGATGGAACCGCAACCATCTCACAGAGAAGTCCAGGCCATCTATGGCAGTTAACACTTCGACAGGAACGTCTTCTCATAAGAAGGGTTGAAGAAAATTGCCATGCAAGTTCACTGCAATTAGCTAAAGAAGTAGAAAGCCAAACTGGGGCAATGTCCAGAGGAATGTCGTCAACGAAGGAAGCCTTTCCTAAAGCCCATGCACAAAAAAGCCCACCTAGAATTTGCCAGGGCCCATGCTGAAAACTACTGGGACTTTGTACTCTGGAGTGATGAGACCAAGAAGTGGGAATTTCAGGGATCTCTTGATACCAAGGTCAGGTAGACGAAGAAAGAAAGATTGCAACCACAAATGTGGGGAATTAATCTTTAATTGCTGTTTTAACCTGTGTGTCTCCTTGTGTGTCTGTACCAAGGCCAAACATTCCAGGCGATGGAAACTTTTGGGTTATTTCTGTTTTTGTTAGGATTTAAAAAGGAGCCAAACAACTATGCAATAAAAGATGACTTCATATGATCACTATCATATCAAATAAAAGACAGTTTTTTTCAATATAACTGACAAAATGTCACGATTTCTGCCAGGGTATGCAAACTTTTGAGCACAACTGTAGATATCCCGTATATTTATATAGATACATAGGGACAAAAGAGACAGATTTAGATATTGGGGGTCCCGGAGCACTTCAGGTTCAGGGCAGAGTTGTCACCTCATCACTTCAAAACCGAACACATATTAATTACACAGGTTCTGGGGCTAATTTAATGCAGATAAGGCACTAAGTGAGTTTAATTACCACCTTAATCAGTCACAGCACCTGTGTAATTAATATGTGTTCAGTTTTAATGGGATGAGGTGGCAACACTAGTTCAGGAGGTCCCTTATACACAGAGTTGGTTTACATTCTCAATGGCAGTCACACATTTTTAAAATGCATGACACAACGTCATTGTGAGGTCATACGTACCCACGCAGTCATAGTGCTCTATGTGTGGTTTTGCTTGAGCCACAAAAATTTGTTATTAAAACTGATATACTATACCAGTCCAGAATAAAAAACGTTTACAGATGATGGCCAGCAAGATATTACTTCCCAAGATACCTTTAATAAAACAAATACATTTTTTGTTACATATTTTACATTATTGCATTTTTTTTTTACTTTTTATATATAATTTTTTTATATTGTTTTATATTTTTTTTGTATGGGGGGGCAGGAGGGCCTTTCGGTCAGGGGGCCTTGGGGCAGTTACCCCTTTTGCTCCCTTATAAATCTGGCACTGAGGGGCAAGCTCAGCTGGTATGCTTCAGGATATTGCGTATTTAATTTCCAAAACTAGAATAAAGGAAATAATGGTGGAAAATGGGCTTGAATGAGTTTAATTACATTTGCTCATCTCAGAAAGTTGTGAAGTATGGATCATTAAAAGCTACAAATGTGTACATAAAGAGCAGATTTTTTTTAAGCTGGTAAATAGACACAAATTGTGTTTGAATTTCCAGTAGTATTCCTCCATAGTAACAATATTATCTATTTTTTTGTTTCCAGAGGAAACATGGGAGGATTTCCAGTTGCTGAATGCAGTGTTGTACTCCACTCAGTAATCTAATAGCTCCACATGAGTACGCCGTCCATACAATGTGCTGCCTGAGCTGCTTCACTCCCCCTCCCTTCATCCTCAAATAACCTCCCAGTGTTCCTCTATAAATTCAGCTCCAGGTATCATCCACACACCTGAGCTAATCCTGACCCCCCCCCCCCCCCCGAACCAAGCAATCCTTTACGTGCAAGCGGACACGGAATGGCGAAGGGGTTAATGATGTCACTATGATGAAAATGCATGGCAGTTTCACATTCTTGCATAAGATTGTGCAACACATGATGAAATACTAATTGTTGATGAAATCCTGGGAGAGAAAATGAAAAACACTGAAAATTGAAATGTAAAACTGAGATCTGGCTTAAATATCTCATGGAAGCAGCAGTTGGTTCCCAGTTTGAATAGGGGGGACTAGAAGTTCCGGAATGCACTCTAAAAGGCCTGGATTTACACCCCGGCCAAGTTGGATGGTATTCCGACTTGAGGTGCAACTTGAAAGACTTCTACGGCTTGCAAGATACAAATGTCTATGCAAGTCGCACCTAAAGTAGTGCATGTACTAATTTAGAAATTGGTGCGGCAAGGAGTAAGGAGCATTCTTCCCGCTGACCACCAATGTAAGGGGCATTCTTCCCACTGACCACCAATGTAAGGGGCATTCTTCCCACTGACCACCAATGTAAGGGGCATTCTTCCCACTGACCACCAATATATGGAGCATTCTTCCCACTGACCACCAATGTAAGGGACATTCTTCCCACTGACCACCAATGTAATTAACTTTATTCCCACTGACGACCAATATAAGGGACAATCTTCTCACTGACCACCAATGTAAGGGCCATTCTTCTTACTGACCACCAATGTAAGGGCTATTCTTACCACTGACCACCAAAGTAAGTGACATTCTTCCTACTGACCACCATTATAAGGGATATTCTTCCTACTGACCACCAAAGTAAGGAGCATTCTTCCCACTGACTACCAATGCAAGGGGAATTCTTCCCACTGACCACCAATATAAGGGACATTTTTCCTACAGGCCACCAAAGTAAGGAACATTCGTCTCTCACTGACTAACGATGTAAGGGACATTCTTCCCACTGACCACCAATGTAAGGGACAAGCTTCCCACTGACCACCAAAGTAAGGGACATTCTTCCTACTTACCACCAATGTAAGGGGTATTCTTCCCACTGACCACCAATATAAGGGACATTTTTCTCACTGACCACCAAAGTAAGGAACATTCTTCTTACTGACCACCAATATAAGGGATATTCTTCCTACTGACCACCAATGTAAGGGACATTTTTCCTGGTGACCACCAATATAAGGGATATTTTTCCTACAGACCTCCAAAGTAAGGAGCATTCATTCTTCTCACTGACCACCAATATAAGGGACATTCTTCTCCCTGACCACAAATATAAGGGGCATTCTTCCTACTGACCACCAAAGTAAGGAACATTCTTCCCACTGGCCACCAATGTAAGGGCCATTCTTCCCACTTACCACCAATGTAAGGGACATTCTTCCCACTGACCATCAATATAAGGGACATTCTTCTCACTGACCATCAATATAAGGGATATTCTTCCTACTGACCACCAATATAAGGGATATTATTCCTACTGACCACCAAAGTAAGGAGCATTCTTCTCAGTGACCACCAATGCAAGGGGTATTCTTCTCACTGACCACCATTGTATGGGACATTCTTCCCACTGATCACCAATGTTAGGGACATTCATCCCACCGATCATCAATGTAAGGAAGGCATAATTCCCACTGACCACCAAAACAAGGGATATTCCTCCCATTGACCACCAATGTAATTAACGTTCTTCCCACTGACCATCCCACTAATGTACCATGAGCTGTATATATATTAATTATGTTGTGTGAAGGGTTCCTCTATGTTAAAAACATTGATAGCGTTTGCCTTATGTTCTCAGGAGGCTTTACTGTGCAAAGCCCTTTATTTCCATGAGAGCCCATTCACACCATTGCGCTCTGAATGGCACCACAACGCACATTCCCAGAGCACTTGTGTTGCAGCTCAGCATTGCACTAACAAGCAGTGTGCTGTGCTGCATGAGCAATATTTGTTCCATTGTGGTTTCTGGGCAGCCCATTCAAATGAATAGGCAGCACAATGGCAATGCATGTTAACAAGTGAACCAACATTCAAGACGCATGTGTTTAACACACCCCAGTAGACTGCTCTGATGTGAATACACAAAGAATACATAAACTAGGGGATAATAGTGTCAGCATTTCTATGTAAAATTAAAAGGAACTTCCTGTGATGGGGGCGCCCTTTATGCGCTGCAGCAACATGTGTATTGCCCCCGTCTGGTGGGACATGGCATCGACGGGCAACTTTAAGGATGGGGAGATTACAAGGCAGAAAAAGGACATTTGGCAATCAAATTCTGGGGCGGGTATTAGTGTTGAAAAAATACTTCTACACGGTTGGAAAAAAATTCTTATACTTGGGCGCCTGTTTTCCTGGCACTAATAACTTGTCACATTGCAAATACACCAACGCTTTTATCGCGTGAATTTTCGGTGTGATAGTACACTGCAAGTGACATAGCAACTGTGATAGTATATATCAAGGAGATAATATGATATTTATAGCCAAGGCTGTAAAAATTGTATTTGGGATTCAAACCCAATTCTAGGATCATGACCATACTCCTTGCCCCCTCCCAGGGCACCATGGTGGGAAGGTCCATGATTCCTCCTAAGTCTCCTAGGCCTTTTAGGTCAGCAAGGCTGAAAAAAATACTAGTCGTCATTCAACAAAGCTCTCTGTATCATTGTTTGTGACTGCAGGGCGCTATGATGGGCAGGTCCATGACACCCTGCACTCATAGTATGTCCTCAGTCCTTTGGGTTGAATAACTTGAGGAATCATTCTTCCTGGATGACTGAGGGCATCTAGTGGTGGAAGTGAAACTACTGCAGGAGAGGGATGTACAAGAGAGGAAGGTTAGTACTACAGTTAGAGCTGTTTTTTGACCTCCTGCAGGAACTTTTAAAGACAAAAAATTAACTCAGACTTGGGCTTTACAGCTTCACCTTTGTGGTCAGAATTAGTGGGCTGCCCTACTGCTCTTGCGCAACTTACAGCATGTTGACCTGCATGTGGTTTTACACCACGGCTTTTGTGAAGGGGCCTTTAAAGTGGTTGTAAGCCCTTACATACTGTATACCCAGGGCTTTTTTTCTCAGAGAATAGTTGCAGGAACTCCCCCTCTCCAAGCCTATACCCACGTCTGAGCACCATTCCTTGGTTCCACCCCCTACCCACATCCCAGTACCATCGCTTTGAAAGAATACAGAACCAAGTATCATTTTGAGCTGCTAAATAAATTGTATGTAATTTGTTAATGATAAAAAAAAGCAGTTAAAAAAGTTCCCAGCAGCAACAATAGATCCAACCATCAACAATGGACCAACCGCAACAAAATATCCCCCTCCCCCCAGCAATGGCAGATCTCCCTGCAGCCAGCATAAATGGACCCTCAAGTAGCGAGCAGCAATAGACCCTCAAAAGTAGATCCCTCCCAGCAAAATGTGAAATCCCCCCCCAGCTAAATCAGGGCCACCTCCAGTAACAAAACAGCAAGAATAGACCTCCCTAGCAGCAATAGACACCCCCAGAAATAGATCCCCTCCAGCATGAATAGACCCTGCAGCAGTACTCCTTGCCATTACGTGCATTCGGTGCTGAAGGTGCGTTTCTGTTGAAGAAAATCCCTGAATATACCCAGTGAAGAGACCGGCCTCAGGTGATACACAGAGATTAAACAAATTATCTTACATAAGTTGTACCTGTTTATCTGCAGTATTCTCTTCTCTAATTCTTTTCAAATTGCTGAATTTATAAGGCTTGTCTGAGAGTTCAGAAAACATGGGGCGTGGATAGCTGAAATTGCACTTTGCAGAGCTCAGTGAGGAGACCTCTGAGAGCTGATTGGAGGGAAGAGACACCCCCCCCCCCTTCACACAGTACACAGGAACAGAGCTGAGGCTGTGAATCTGCTGGAAGTCCCTCCCCAAAACTTGTCAGAAGTGATTCATGCTGATAGCAGAGGAAGGAGGCAACAGACAAAAAATGACTTTAGTGCCCTGGATCGAGACAAGTACACACTATAGAAGGATATGTTTTGTTCATATTTCGTGTCTGAGGTTTACAACCACTTTCAGCTGAACTCTAGGCAGATGAATGCACTTGTATATTAACTGAAATAAAAGAATATATTTCTTGTGCTGGTGTCAGTAATTGAACTTTTTTCTTATATTCGTTTCCTGTAATTCCATGTACAGTGGGAGAGAAAGGAGCGGTACTAGCAGCCAATCAGGCAGTTTCTGTTGCAGTGCAGTGAAAATATGTTGATAGAAGGAGAGAGCAGAGTGAGCAAAAGAGGGACCTTATTTGTGTGCTGATTTCTCTCACTGCCCAATCAGCAAGCTGTGTATATGCCACAATGCCAATCATTGTTAATGGCACCCCAAACACAGCTAGCAGATGTGCATTTTTCCATGTGGAAAAATGTGCAAAAAAAGTAAGAAAAAAAAAGCACAAAGCTCAACACACTAAAATTTACATGAACTACGTTTGTCGCATGTAGGGTAGCCTATTGAAATTAATGGGATGCCCTATGCATGTTGGGTGAGAACGCCCTCAAAACACGGACAAACACTTTTGTGTGCAATCTCAGTATGCCTAGGTATGAGTGCAGCCTTAAAGTACTGTATATGGGAACCCTAGCCTGGAAAACAACACATTCAGTTTAAAATAGAAATAAAAGGCAAAACATTTTTGTGTGTATACATAAAAAAAAATTACACATACTTTTTTTTTTTTTGTAGTAAGTGATCACGTAAATGCTGTTGTTAGTTGCATATAGAGCTTAGAGAGGTGGGGGTGGAGAAGCTGCAGTACACTGATCTTCCCAGTGAATGCTGTGCAGGGGGCATGTCAGCACAAGTCATGGCCATTGGAGGATGGGCAATTGACCCAGCCTAGTGTGGTAAATTTGAAATAGGAAAGCATGGGGACTGGCAGGGTCGGGACTGGGGGGGCAGAGAAAAGGAGTACATGCCCTGGGCACAGTGGTGTTATCTGGAGGGGCAGAAGGGGCATGGGCCCTGGGTGCAGTGGTGTTATATGGAAGGGGCATGTGCTCTGGGTGCAGTGGTGTTATATGGAGGGGGCATGTTCTCTAGGTGCAGTGGTGTTATATGGAGGGGGGCATGTTCTCTAGGTGCAGTGGTGTTATATGGAGGGGGCATGTTCTCTAGGTGCAGTGGTGTTATATGGAGGGGGTATGTTCTCTGGGTGCAGTGGTTTTATGTGGAGGGGGAAGGGACATTCGCCCTTGGTGCAGTGGTGTTATATGGAGGGGGTAGGAGGGACATGTGCCCTAGGTGCAGTAGTGTTTTATGGAGGGGCAGCAGCAGGGGAACGTGCTCTGGACACAGTGGTGTTATGTGGAGGGGAAGAAGGGGCATGTGCCCTGGATGGAGTGGTGTTATGTAGAGGGGGCAGAAGGGGCATTTGCCCTGGACACAGTGTTGTTATGTAAAGGGGGCAGAAGGGGCATGTGCCCTGGACGCAGTGGTGTTATGTAGAGGGGGCAGAAGGGGGATTTGCCCTGGACGCAGTGTTGTTATGTGGAGGGGGCAGAAGGGGCATGTGCCCTGGACGCAGTGGTGTTATGTAGATGGGGCAGAAGGAGCATGTGCCCTGGACGCAGTGGTGTTATGTAGAGGGGACAGAAGGGGCACGTGCCCTGGACGCAGTGGTGTTATGTGGAGGGGCAGAAGGGGCATGTGCCCTGGACACAGTGGTGTTATGTAGAGGGGGCAGAAGGGGCATGTGCCCTGGACACAGTGGTGTTATGTAGAGGGGGCAGAAGGGGCATGTGCCCTGGACACAGTGGTGTTATGTGGAGGGGGCAGAAGGGGCATGTGCCCTGGACACAGTGGTGTTATGTGGAGGGGGCAGAAGGGGCATGTGCCCTGGACGCAGTGGTGTTATGTAGATGGGGCAGAAGGAGCATGTGCCCTGGACGCAGTGGTGTTATGTAGAGGGGACAGAAGGGGCACGTGCCCTGGACGCAGTGGTGTTATGTGGAGGGGGCAGAAGGGGCATGTGCCCTGGACACAGTGGTGTTATGTAGAGGGGGCAGAAGGGGCATGTGCCCTGGACACAGTGGTGTTATGTAGAGGGGGCAGAAGGGGCATGTGCCCTGGACACAGTGGTGTTATGTGGAGGGGGCAGAAGGGGCATGTGCCCTGGACACAGTGGTGTTATGTGGAGGGGGCAGAAAGGGCATGTGCCCTGGGCGCAGTGGTGTTGTGTGGAGAGGGGGCCACTAAGAGCCTGTCAGCACTTTGCTCCCCAGCTGCCTGATTGACAGGAGTGTCATTCAATGAAGCACAGCGAAGGGTTGAGATTGCTGCTGGAGAGAAGGTTCTGCTCTCTCCTCCCTCCATCAGCAGTGTAAAGTGGACAGGAAAGAAGGCAGGATGGCCAGTGACACCACTGATGCAGTGCCTTTT